CGCCGTCTGCGGCGGCGGCGGCGGAAACGAGGCCGTCCTTCGCCTGCAGCGGGACCCAGAGCTTCCGATCGTCGTACCCAAAAAGGAATTTGCTCTCGAGTATGGAGAAAATCTCGTAGCTCAATTTATCCGTCTCGATACTCGGCTCCTCCGTCAAATTAACACCATTATCGCCGTGAAAATCTACACACGCCATTTTCCGTTCAATCTTTGTTTCACATAACCCAATCAATAATCACACTCTCTCTCTCGCTTTCTAATTTCGATTCATAAGAGGGTTCGGAATAAAAAAGGGTTCTTGAGCTTGAAAAATGGAGATAGGGTCAAAGGGCAATCAATTGATAAGGAGAAAGGGAGAAGAAAAAGGAGATATGGCGAGAGAGAATAGGCAAAAACACAACATAAAAAGCACAATTTGCAGAGCATGTCTGTTTTTCGTTTTGGCTTTTATAAAACAGAAAATAATAATTAATAATAATAATAAATAATAATAATAATAATAATTTTAGTTATAGAATTAATTTAAAATATTTGGCCAAAAGGTATCCGAGAAAAATATATTAAAACAATGAGAAAAGAAAATGAAACGAAAATTCCCACAAAATCCATTTTTTTGTTGTTTCCTACTCGTCATGATTTAGAAGTCTATTATTTATATTATTTTTTAAACTTATTAATGATGCCTTTTATTATAATAAATATAAATAAATAATAATGACATGTGGCACATTATGATTGGTGCCACAACATGATGTGTGATAGTTGTGGCACCAATCATAATGTGCCACATCATGTTGTGGCACCATAATATAGTGCCACATGTAGCACCATAGAATTTCTGTGAGATAAATACTACTACCTATATTTTAAGTAAATATTTATACGTAGTAGTTTGGCATGTCTAACGATTATGTTCTCACAATTTTTACATACTTTTAAACCACAATATTATGGTACAATATAGATTAACTAAATAATAACAATTACATTATAAGTCTCTATTTTATTGGCCTCTGTTTTTCTCGAGTGAGTGTTTTATTATTCATTTGGAATTAATTTTCACTCGAGTATTATCCTGTTGGATCCTTTAGTTTCATGTTTTGTTGTGATTCTAGTGTTGTTATGTTTGGCTTCTAGGCGGACCTTCGGGTCTGCATCATAATTTATTCAGTCATTGGTTGTATCTTTCAGTTTGTGGCTAATTTCTTTTTGCACTTTGTGCATTTTATAAAACCTCTATTGTTCCGAAAA